CACACACACACACACACACACACACACACACACACACACACACACACGACAAAATCCAGCTGAGTTTCAGTCCATGGTTCACTTCCAGTTGTAGCTGTCTGTGTCTCCATGGTAACATGGAATACAGAAGGGGAGCAGCTCTAGTTTTAACCCTCACAGAATCCCGTTTAAGCTAGGAAAGGGACGGTTTAGCCCCGGGCCGGGGATAGTTCTGTTGTGGACTAACCCAGGTGGAGGAAAGTGGATGAATTGATGGGTAACCGTCTGTAGACGGATAATCGGAACTCCAGAGTATCACAGGCTCGTTCTCCGGTCTGTTTCCTCTTCTCTTCCAAACCCGTGGCTGTGAGGGACACATCACATCCTGCCTCCCCAAACTCCATTGTTCTCTCTGCTTCCTCCTTCCTAAACTGGGCTTAATCTGACAAAAGCAGTCATTTTGTGGTGCGACTGGCAGGAAAGGTGTGTCCTTGCTGGTCTGAGCAGGAACCAGTTTTTTGTTTTTTTTCCAGCTGTTCGGTCTCCCCGGTTTGTCCACAGACTTTGACCCTGTCCCGTTGTGTTTTTGTGGGAACAGGGGGGCTCCCCCGGGCCTCTGCGCCCTCCTCTGCCACGCGGCGCTCGGCCAGCTCCTGAAGAGTGACCTCTCCCCGTTCCACTGCCCGCAGGCTGAGGCCGCCCAGGAGGAAGAGGAGGAGGAGGAGGAGAACACACCCTGTAGGTCGTGAGTTCCAGGGTTTGAACGTATTCTGGGCTATCTGGTGGCGTCTGTGGACGTCCAGGAAACAGGAAATAAAACTATTTCAACACATAAATGTCAGAGGATAGCTAGAGAGTCAGACTCTGTGGAGTTTTCTGTATTTCATTAAACATTGTGTGTTTTCTTTCTGTGGTCAGTGCTCCGGTCGGAGCCCGTCCAGCGTCTGTTCCTCAACCTGCTGATGGACGTGGCGTCCGCGTGGCACCGGGAGCCGCCCGGGCCGCCCCCCCCCGCGGCGGGGCCCCCCCACTGCTCCGTCCACGCCATCCGCAACACCAGGAGGAAGATGGAGGACAGACACCTGGCCCTCGGCCACTTCAACCAGCTGTTTGGCCTCCAGGTACGGTTCCCCTCCGCCCCCCCCCGTCCCGCCCCCAAGAGAAACAAACCGACCCCACTTTGATGGTTTCAGGACGGAGTGGAGCGCGCCTACTACGGCGTGTTCGACGGCCACGGGGGGGTCGACGCCGCCGTGTACTGCGCCACCCACCTCCACGTGGCCCTCAGTAAGCAGGACGCTCTGCAGAGTGACCCCTCAGAGGCCTTCAAAGCCGCCTTCACACACACGGACCGCATGTTCAGGGCCAAAGCCAAGCGGGAGGTACGAAAAACGACGCGTTTAATGTAGCATGTTCAGATGGACATTTTTAGTCCATGTTTGGGAAAGATGAAATGGCCGATGTATGAACCCTAAATCTGTTATTAGCAAATGGACTGAACCCCATTCCTCTTCCGACTCAGAGTGCTTTAGTCCAGTGGTCCCCGACCCCCGGTAGTAACTAATTAGTTCTGTTGTATTTATACTCAGTCTGAATAACCTTTTATTTTGTAAAATCTTTTATTTTGAAAAATGACCGGATTCTCTCGGCCACTGGAGCGTCCAAAATTAAACCCACAATTTAGCAAAATGAGTAAGAAACAGACGTCTTTTGAAAGTTTTTTCTCGAAGGGGAAAGGGCCCAAAGAGGAGAAGGAGGAAGAGCCGAAGAAAATAAAAGCTTTAAACAGACAATAGCAGGAGGTCTACTTAAGATATGGATCTAACATGCAACGTTGACCGGTCTGTAGTGATATAAAGGTTGATGACCACTGCTTTAGTCACACACGGTGAAGATTTTAAGGTGTTTCATTACAGGTTTAGTTTACGTTTTGTTTATAATTGTGACCCATTCAAAATAAGAATGAACCTGCTCACTTTCAGGGCTCAACATGTTCTGTTATAGGTTTTCTCACCTATTTGTCCATCTCATCTCCCACTAAGGAGCACACGGAGCTCAACAGTGTGCTCTGAATTAGCTGAGCCCTCAATTCAGTTAGAGAAATACAAAGGACAAATTATTTTGACTACAGAGGTTAGAATGATCATAAAATAGATTGTGAAAAGTTGGAATTGTAGTGTTTTCATTGTTTGGCTTTGAAGTCGAGAAAGAAATCAAACCACAGTAGAATCCTAGGATGTTTTTGCATGAAAAGACAGCAGGTGGAAGTCCAACAGCGTGTGTAAACTCTAGTTTTCCATCCACAGCGTCTGAGGAGTGGTAGCACCGGAGTGGCCGTGCTGATCCAGGGGCAGGAGCTCACGGTGGCCTGGCTGGGAGACTCCCAAGCCCTACTGGTCAGACGGGGACAGGTGGTCACGCTCATGAGCCCTCACAAGCCAGAACGAGAGGTAAAGCTAACCCGTTTTACACCAGAGTCACGCTCTCATACAGGAGTTCTCACTCTAAACACTAATGCTAATGTGCTAACGTGCTAATATTAATGAGGAGAGGACCCCAAACACGTCACGGCCCCTTCTGTGGTTGAATTGGTGTATCCAACTACACCTCCTTGGTATTTTTCCATGTAGACTATCAGACTCTTGGTCCTCCAAACCTGAATTTTAAATGCGGTCTGGAGAGGAACTGTGAACCACTCACATGTTCCCTAACAAATGCGCTTTGCATTTGGAGTTTTTCTGTAGCCATAGACGGACATCCCAACATCGACACACTGTCCATCTCTTGTTTCCCCCTAACAGGATGAAAAGCAGCGCATCGAGGATCTGGGGGGCTGCGTCACCTTCATGGGTTGCTGGCGGGTTAATGGCACCTACGCTGTATCCAGAGCTATAGGTGAGCTACTCCCCACAGAGAACCACATTTCAAAGCAGGGCCAGAAACGTTATGTTTTCATTTAAAAGCAGGGGATTACATAAAAAAAACAAAAAAACAACAAAGGTTTTTTGTTGGTGATGTTTAGGTTTTCTTGAAACCTTGTTAAAAAAAAAGAAAGAAATAACGAAAAAAACAACAAAAAAAACACATATATATATATAGTGGCCATTTAAGTTGACTTTTTGTAATTCACATGTTCTGTTTAATTTTAAGTAGTTAAAATATATTTCAGTTTGTACAGAACCATACTGAAGTTAATTGTTTGGAATTATTATGATTTGTTTGGTCATTTTTTAAGCTCCTCCCGTTAATTTGGGAGAGTAAGAACAGCCAGGGTGTGTGTGGAGGGGGGTTGTGGTTTTATTTGTGAATGTCAGGTGTGATGACGGGAGGTTTGAAGACAACGATTTTTTGACCACGCCACACTTTTGTATTACTTTTCGACCACCTTTTAGACTTTTGATTAGCATCAAAGTTAAAATGAATTTAGGTTATTATTCCCATATAATTTTACATGATATAAAAAGAAAGTGTAGTGGCAGTGACAAAATATATATGTATATATATAGACACGCACGTCTTCCCTGTATGATGACAGTGCTTGGACTTGTAAATATAAACTCTGCGCGTATGTGAACCCACCAGGGGACTTTGACCAGAAGCCGTACGTCTCCTCGGACGCTGACTGTGGCTCTGTCCAGCTGCGGGGGGGCGAGGACTACGTGCTGCTGGCCTGCGACGGCTTCTTTGACGCGGTCAGCCCCTCAGAGGTGCCGGGCCTGGTTCAGGACGCGCTCAGGCAGACTCTGGACCCTGAGGGAGGAGGGGGGGGGGCGGCGGCTGACCACTGGGACGGCGGCGTGGGGCAGGGGGTCGCTGAGAGGCTGGTGGGCCACGCCAAGACGGCCGGGTCCAGCGACAACATCACCGTGATGCTGGTGTTCCTGGGCCCCCCCCAGCAGCTGCTCACCCCACTTCCTGCTCCAGAGGCCGGGCCAGCCCCCCAAGAGTCCTTTTTCTAACGAGCACGGCACAAGTCTGTCCTTCTTCCCGCCTTTAACCCGAAAAGCCGGGATTTTGTCTGCAACGCCCTGCTTCTGATGCCGTAACTGATTATGTTTTATTGTGACGAGTGGAATCGGGGGCCATTTAAGCTTGGATACTTGCTAACATTTAGCTAGCACGTTAACGCAGAGTCCATTAAACTGGAACGCCATCACCTGTGGTTCTCAGAAGGTTTAAAGTATTAGCAAACGCAGCATTCCACCAGCTTTGATACCAGGAGACATTAAGGGTTTAATCCCAGATATTTGCCCAAGTGGATAACTCCCTATTCATTTTGACGAGGGAAAATATTGTATTCAACATCTACAACAAGTAATAGTAATTTGTCTTAAAAATAATTAGTCTGGAAAGAAGCACGGCTTAAAACGGTGGTTTGATCGTGTTATGATGCAGTTCAGTGTTATCTCTTATGGAGGCGGCTTTTTCAGCAGGTCTCTTTTCATTATCACCTCCAAGGGCTCCAGATTAACTGTTTTTTTAAATAATTTCATTCAGTGTTATTTTTATATTTTGAAAATGATGTATTGGTTTCATAAGACAAAGCTTTTTGGTTTCAGAGAAAACCTCCCCCCCTCCTAACCTCCACACTGTAAGCAGACTGTTACCTCTTTAAAAGTCTTGATTTGCTTTTTAGGAGTCATTTCATGGCATGTCAGGACTTTGTTTTTATTACCTAAAGTATTTCCTGTTTCAGTTTCTATTTTTTTCTCTGATTGGTCATGTTTCCTCTCCTACTCAGTTCTTCCAGCACTCTTTGACCACTGACTTTTTTGCTGAAGCAGTTTTTTTATGCAACTTACATTCTTACATTGACCCGTATTTCTTTGCTCATGGTAGGGCAAAGAAATATGCCCCTTCCCCCCTCTTTTCCCTCATATGAAAAAAAGTGCCAACATTAAGAGCAATAAGAATAAAATAAAATGCTTTTTTCTTTTATCTGTGGTCTGTTGAACAAAGCCTGAATTAAATGTATGTGCCATGTTATGTGGCTTTATCATAAAGTCTGAGCACTGAAAAGGCCTCTTGTGTGTAGTACGTATTCATTTTGTCCTCCATCTTATTCCAAATAAATGTTTTTTTTCTCCACAATCTGAAAAGCTGTGTATACCTGGACCCTTCCAAAACCAAAACTCTGCCCACTGACATCAGGAAATGGTAGTTTTTTAGCACTAAATTTCCAACTTGATATATAATTTTCCAACTTGATATATATATATATATATATATACACACACACACATATATTTACATGTAGATACATATGTGTATAGACATATGTAAACACATATATACATACATATGTTTTTCTTTTCTTTAAATAAAACAACTAAGAAACCTGGCACCCTCATGAGAGTGTATATTAAATGCCTAATGCAGAGATTTTAATATTTAATATTTTAATATTAAAGCAGAACAACCATTTTCTATTAAAACATCATTAATCTAAACTAAATAAACGTGTCTGATAATTCCCAGTCAAACTATCAGAAACAGCTCTGATTCCGGAGTCCCTGTTTTGTCACCTCAGGGGACCAGTAACACCAGTTTGCGTTCCCAGTTTGCCAAAGTATTGTAGCTGCAGCTGCACCCCCGCTTTAGAGCTGGATGTCCAGGCTGCTGAGCCTCTCTTTAACAGAGGCTGAAACCTCTTACTAACAAACATCCAAACAGCCCCTCCTCTCATTTTTTCAGCCTGCTTAACCCAACACAAATTCTTTGTCAGTCTGGCTAGAGAGCCTAAAATAATTCTGGTATTGCTCTTTCTTGTCTATGAACGAAGAACATATATTTCTAAAATGATTTTTATAGAATTTTCATCATCAAGCACTTTCCTGTAATTATTACACTCTTTCAAGACTCATTGAGATTAATTATCAGAAAAAGGTAAATCCTAAGCATATTCTGCTTTAAAATGCACAGCTATGAATTATACCAAGAATCCAGTCTCTTTTGGAATTTAATGGACTTAAATTGATCAACAAATCAATACATTACAGCCGATTGGATTCTAACCGTCCCCATTGTGATGGATTTGTTGTACTCATTCGACTTACCTGCTACCTACTTACCAACCGGGGTGTCAAACTCCAGACCTCGGGGGCCGTTGTCCTGTAGGTTTTAGACATTTTCCTGCTTCTGCACCTCCTGATGAAACGGGTCTCGTCTGGACACGGGTGAGCTAATGGCACTTTGATTTCGATCAGGTGTGTTGAAACAGGAACACCTCCAAGACCTGCAGGACATCAGCCTCCAAGGCCTGGAGTCTGACACCTTTTATTTAAGGACAAATGAAACAACCATCCAATGCTAATACATTGTTCTCAAGCAAATGTTTAATTACAAATGTGCATCAATGCTGATCTCATTTCAATTTTGCGGTAAAAAACATATAAAAATTGGATGAAAAATTAATTAATTAACGCACAGTGTGGCTGCTGACACTGTGAATCATGGCCTTTCTTGAAGTCATTAACATTTATTTTAGTTTATTTAACAGTCCTGATCCTTATTAACTTTTGTCAAAATCAAGGATACCATGGCATTACTGTCACTGTTTCCACTATCTTTTTAAGAACTCAATGTTTATCTCTAATTGGCAAAAATATCTCAAAGCATTTACAAAATAATTTTCTTAATTAAGACCTTCAAATTTGGAAATAACCATTAAATCACCCAAATTAAGACTTTATTGTGAAAGAACACGTGAAACAGCAGTAAGTGTTTGACAGAACAATTAATAACTTAATTATCACAGAACAGAATTAGAGAAACAGAAAATGTTAAAAGCCCATGGAAACAAATACCCAGAGAGACAACCGTACTCTGCAAAAGCGACTGTTTTTTTGTGTTTTTTTTACAGTCATCGATAAAACATTTTACATCACAATCGTCAAAACCATAAAACAAGGAGTGTTAACCTTCCTCTAACAGTCATAACAGTATGAGCACAGCCACAACGAATCGGGCTTTACACGATTCCAAAAATAAATCAAAATAAAAGCTCTTAATTACCGTAGTTTCAAGCAGATGGACTTATTGTTGTGTATATATTATTTGTCACATTAACTTCTATTCAACAAAACAATGATATGGTAAAGAGGTGAATACTTATTAGACCAAGACGAAACTTACCGCACGAAGCAAATACCTGCAAGGGGGCATCATCATCACCATCATGATCATCATCATCATCATCATCACCATCATCAGCGTCAGTGTTTCAGACATCAAAAAAATCTCCTTCAATCCAAAGTGCATTTAGCTAAATTCCTCTCTTTGTCAAACAAACCGCTCAAGGGTGCCTAAATATCCAAAATAGGTCATTCTTCTGGTCAAAGAAAATAAACTATTACATTTTCGTCATTGCAGCATGCTCTGGACGCAGGTGGACTCTGGCAGAGTGATGGGGGCCTGCTCTGGTTACAGGGCTGGATCACATCCACCTGCAGATGCTTCTGTTAATTAGCTCCAAACGCTATTTAACAGGAGCCCGCGTTAGTAGCAAACCCACTATTTACAACAGACAGCAAGACGCGTACGCTCTCAGGATTCAGACATTTCTGCCGGCGGGCCTTCGGGCTCTGCAGGTTCCCACAATCTGACCCCTCTGTCCCCTCTGACCTCGGTTGTGGGAATTTGAGGCTGATATTTCCAACTGGTCTTGTGCGGTGCCGGGCCTTGGTGGGGATCTGGGTTCTGGATGTGGGGTGGCCCCTCCAGGTCTGGGACGTGGTCTTTCTTTTTTTTTTCCCTTCTGGTTTCAGCAGAGCGTGTCTGTGCTGAAGGAGAGCTGCACCTGCCAATCACAAACACGTGCACGCACACGTGTGACACACACCAGGATGTCTTTATCTCACAAAATTTGACTTCTTGCTTAATGTCTCCATAAGCTCCAGAATTAGAATAACCCTCCTCATCGCCTAAATTTAATTCCACCAATTCAATTCAGACTATTAACTAAAAATAAAACTGCAAACTCCTTAATTTGCTGTTTTTTTTGTCATTCTAAGGCATACCATTATAGAAATTTAGTTTCAATGAACCCAAGTATGAGACTGTGATTCCTTTAAATAATGTTATAGTGTCAGATAGAAAATGCATCGACTCGTATCAACAATCAAAATGTCCGCTATCAAAAACTGAAAACGTTTGACTCCTTTAGGTGCTTCTTGCTTGATGTCTCCATAATAAGCTCTAGAATTAGAATAACCCTCCTTATCGCTTAAATGTCGATCCACCAATTCAATTTGGTTTTATTAATGTAGTATCAAATCACTACAGTGTCACCTCAGAGCAGCTAGAAAATAAAGTCCAATTCAAACCAATTAGAATACAATTCATTCAATACAATACAGAATCCAGTCAAATCAAATTAGATTCTGAATAAGCAGTGGTGGGAAGTAACTGTCCTTAAGTACAATTTCCATGTATCTGTACTTTACTTAAGTAGATTTAATAATGGATACTTTCTACTTTTACTCCACTACATTTAACAGTAAGTATCTGTACTTTCTACTTCACTACATTTCTATACAGCGTTTCGTTACTCGTTACATCCAAGACGCATTTCGGTTTTTTGATTTGTTCGTTAGTTTTGATTTGTTCGTTAGTTTGAAAGTATCCAATGGCGAGAGCAGAATCAGTCCGCTGAACCAATCCAAAGCGGGAAATAACCATTAGGCCCTCCCTCAAGAAGAGCAGCACAGTACGCAGGACCTGCATAAAATATCTAAATCTAAACTGTCACAGGGGGTAAACACAATAAAAACATGCTTTATCTGCAGCATTGCTCATTAAAATGGTACATTACTGATTTATTAAAACTAAATACGATAGGTACGCTTAATGACATTATATGTTAGGTATTATGGTTGGCAAGTACTTTTACTTTTAATACTTAAGTAGTTTTAAAAGCTTGTACTTTCTTACTTTTACTTAAGTAAAATAATAATGTGGTACTTTGACTTTTACTCGAGTAAATTTTTGTCTGTGTATTTGTACTTTTACTTAAGTACATTGTATGAGTACTTTCTCCACCACTGTGAATAAGTCAAATTCAAACCGATCAAAAAACAGGTTTCTTAGTAAAGGAAACATCTCGTTTTGATCCAGTCCTACATCCTGTGCATGAGTAATAATACTAACCCCTAATACTAACACATACAAACCTGTTTTCAAGAAAGCTACAGCTCCTCCAGCCTGAGAGGAAAAGGTCCACTCACCCGTTCTTCCTCAAAGCTGATCAGGCCTTCGTCGTCGTCGGTTTCCAGCTCCTCCGAGGCCTCGCTGATCAGGCTGTTGAGCTCGGTGACGGGGGGCCTGGGCTTCAGGAGGTTGAGGATGCAGCTGAAGGGGGACTGCTCCCCCCCCGCGGGCAGCAGCACCTGCGTGTCCAGGTTGTCGCTCTGCTTTTTGGCGAAGTTGACAAACACCTGGGTGGAGAAAACCAGAAAAAAACAGGTAATTAACCTCATCTATTGGATTTCTCCACATTAAAAAGACACGGATGCGATGAGGTGGGTGTTAAAAGCGGACTGACGTTGTCCAGGGTGGTCTGGCTGACGGAATAGTCCTCGATGCCCAGGACCTCCACCACCTGCTCCATCCTGCTGAACACCTGAGCCAGACAGGTCCACTCAGACTTCAGCTGGTACTGGACCTTGGTGTGGTGACGCTCCTGCACACATCACAGCGG